GTAAACAGAGGTATACATTGATCAAAGAGAATATGGTGCAAATTGATATGGCAGGGGACTCAGAATGCAACATTCTTAATTAAATGTGTCTTTAAATTTTCTCCTCATCTGCAATTCCATAGATGTGGAAAGAGTGGGTGGCATATTGAATCTGCTTTGAATTGGTGAAGAAGAAACAACATTAATACCTGTATAAGTGGAACCTTTGGTGTTTCTAAGATGTGTACCATTGTATGTATGTATTTCACTTAAAGAGGTTCATTTAGTATTGTCATTTGGTCAAGGCACTCAGGGCAGAAATGTCTTCCACTTAAGGATGCAGTACCAGGTCGGTTTTCACGTCTGTTTGCGCAGGTTTGACTTCCGGTTTGAGAAAGCTAGCTTCCAAGAACGTCATTTTCGCATTTAGTCTTATTCAAAAGTCATAGTTTATTTCGATAATGGTGTTTCCAGAAAAGAATTAAATTGCAAATATTTTATCAAGCATATTTTATCCCTTTCACTTTTACGGGAAAACTTGTTCTTGAGTCGCAATTAGTGGATACGAAAACCAGGGTTCGAAAGGTGCCAGCTCTATTGAAAACTCAAAAAAGTAAAAAGATTCATTTTGGGTGGGTAAAATAATTTTTTATTTTGTAATTGCCAGACGGTCAATCCTCTTCATATTGCACTTGGATGATGATAACATCATAGTGATACATTGTTAAAAATATGAGCAAAATCTAATGTCTGGAACTTTTTCTACGCTGACCTGGTACTGCATCCTTAACAAGGTGTTCCACTTATGAGGATATTCTACTTTACAAGTTTTCTGTATTTTACAGATTTTTTTAAACTGTTGGTGATGAAGCACTTGTTTTCAAAACCAAACATGGAACATTAACATGCAAATTGCCCAAAATAACTGGTGATTTTGGTGTAACAACCAGTGAAAATCTGCTGTGCCTGTTGCTAATGACAACCCTGAATGATAAGGAAAAATGCTTATTTATGTCTGTGAGAGAGAAAAGATAGGTGAAATAAGAATGAATGAGAAGCCGCATTGATCCCCCAGCAATGCTGCTTCAATCATATCTCATGTGAATTACGTGATAAAACTAAACAATTAGTGCCCACTAAGCTTAATTGTGATCATTCTAATCTATTCCCTAGTTTTCAATTGACAATGGATTATCAGGATACTATTTCTCTGGCTGTAGAACATTATGAGGCTTGACCTTTTACTTTTAAAATGTAAATTATTGTCATTTTGTTCAAGATAGTCTTTCAACACAAATTCTCTCATTGAATAGACCAGAACACAATCAGGTGTTGCATTAGAATGTCAGGCAACTGGCAAAACAAATGTAAACAACATGCAAAATTATTGGAAATTATCATTTTTACAAGAAAATACAACTGGTTAAAAACAACTGAAGAAAATGCAGTAAGACCTTAACAACGGTTTCAATCGGATTTATATATATATTTTTTATTTATATATATTAAACATCAAATTAAAAAATCAAAATGCTTTTTTCATATTGTTATAGTCTCCAGCTTTTCAATGGATGGTGTTTGGTAGGTTGCAGTCAGTGTCTGGCATTCTGTACCTGTAACAAATGGCAGGTGGTGCCATTTTGCATGTTAATGCCATGCAATTTCATTATCGCAATTCATAAATTGCTATCTAACTACATAAACTAACCATATGATGAGTTGTGATTGCATCTTTATTTCAGACACCTATTATCTTTTGAATTAAGAAGCATTATTCAGAATTGGACTGTTTTTGATAATTTAACATATCCTGTTTTTTCATCTTTTAAGTGAATGTCAATTAATTGTAGAAAACATGAAACTATTCACTATATCTTGTATAATATCATAACGTGTAGAATCGCACAAACTGTCAATAGAACAATGAGAGATGTGTGAATACATGACTGTGGTAATGTAACTTTTACAATAAATCATATTTAAACAATACTTGACTTCATTTCTTTGCTTGACAGTTTGCCAAGTCTCATTCAACATTTGTCTCAGGGTCAAGGATGTTGATGTCGAAATTGTAATTATCAGGCCCGTAAGACACTTTTCTCCAAGGGGGTGCGGTTTTTACTAAAGAGAATATAAAATTGTCAATTTTTTTGCCGCGTAAATCAAATCGTGTAAGTCAGAGGGGGGGGGGGGGGTCGGTTACTCCCTTTATTGGTGATTTCTGGGCACTTTTAAAGTGTTTAGAATTAACAAATGCAACTTCCAAACGTTCCAATTGTTTTGTGGGGGGTGTGAGGAGTGGTCCAGTCCACTCCCCCTAGAAAATTTTACAGTTTTGAGATGCTATTTGGTGCTTTCTTGGCCTTTTCAAAGTGTATGAGTCAATAAGAAAAATGTGAATTTTTTCAAATTCCTTTAGGGGTGTCATAGAGGATGAGAGGGTGAAGTGGGGTAGGGTGCCAGAGGGGGAGCAAGGGGTAGTCCCCCAGAAACATTGACCATATCAAGTTGCTATTTGATGATGTCTGGGCACTTAAAAAATGTCTGGGATAATACATGAAATTCAGAATATTTTCTTTTGTTTTGTGGGGGATGTGTGGGGTGGCCAACTCTCCTAGGAAATTTTACAATTTAAAGATGATATTTGGTGCTTCTGGGCACTTTTAAAGTGTATTAGCCAATAAAAACATTGAAAAACAAACACAATTTTTTTTCAAATTTTGGGGGTGTCAAAGGTGGGAGGGAGGGGTGCCAGAGGGGGAGGTGGGGTTGGGGTGCCAGAGGGGGAGCAAGTGTTTGTCCCCCATATCTGTCCCCCAGAAACATTACAATATCAAGGTGCTATTCAATGAAGTCTGGGCACTTAAAAAGTGTCTGTGCCTAAAAGTGGCTATTTTCCAAGAAAATTTTACAATTTTAAGATGCTATTTGGCGCTTTCTGGGCGCTTTCTGGGCACTTTCAAAGTGTATGAGTCAATAAAAAATTTGAAAAATCTTAATTTCTTTTTCAATTTTTTTTCTTTTTTTTGGGGGGGGGGGGGTGTCAAGGGAGGGGGGCTGCCAGAGGGGGAGGTGGAGTGGGGATGCCAGAGGGCGAGTAAGTGTTAGTCTCCCATAATCATTAACTATATCAAGGAGCTGTTTGATGATGTCTGGGCAATTCAAAAGTCACATAAAACAAATTCAGAACTTTTCCATTGTTTTGTTTGGGGTGTGAGGGGTGGCCCACTCCCCCTAGAAAATTTTACAATTTACAACACTATTTGGTGCTTTCTGGCTACTTTCAAAGTGCATGAGTCAATTAAAGAATTTGAGAAAATCACAATTTTTATCCAATTTTTTTGGGGGGGGGGTCAAGGGGGGGTGCCAGAGGGGGAGGTGGGGTGGGGATGCAAGTGCAATATGCAAGAGGGGGAGCAAGTGTTAGTCCCCCATAAACACTAACTATATTAAGGAGCTATTTGATGATGATTGTCTGGGCACTTTAAAAGTGTCTGAAACAAAACACTAAAATAAATTTAGAACTTTTTCAATTGTTTTGTGGGGGGTGTGAGGGGGTTGGCCAATACCCCTAGAAAATTTTACAATTTTAAGATGCTATTTGGTGCTTTCTGGGTACTTTCAAAGTGTATGAGTCAATGAAAAAAAAATTACAAAAAATATATTTTAAAAAAAAAACCATCGCACCCATCGCACCCCCCCCCCATCTGACGGCCCTGATTACTCATTCCTTTCTGCCATTCATGAGAGATTAAGGGACTCCCTCATCAAAATACATACATATCCCATACAGGCATATAACCTCAATGATATTATCACCGCTATTAAGCTGATATTATGCCATGATGAATTTATTTGGAGCAAATGTTAGTGCATGAACTTATAGTTTGTTACTACTTGCTATAATTAATTTGGAGCTGAAGCTCCTAATTTAGAGCTTGAGCTCTTAACTTTACCAGGTAAACAGGAGTAATAATGCTACCATTTAGAATTCTTTTCCATTGTGAATTATAATGAATTGCCAACCTTTAAAACAATCAATTATGGTATAGATCACAAAGAATCAATTAAATTTCATGATTTGATCAGTTCTGTTTGAAAATACACACCTTTTGTTGATAAGTACAAATTCAGATGGCCTTTGAAAGTATGTTAAATGTTGATTTTATGCCAAATCTACCCTATCATATGATACACACAATTCTAAAACTATTGTGTTTGTTGGGAATCTTGGGAGATAACCACGATTACGAGGTGAATAGGGCATGGGAAGTCATTGGACTCAAATATCACCGTGTCTGTTGAGCAAAGATAGTTGAAGACTTAACCTTGAATATCGATATCATATTAAATTGATTTGAAGAAGAATATTACAGCAGAAAGGCATTACAGTTCAATTGTAAAGAATAACTAACGTCAATCATATTTTTGGTGTTAAAGAACATTTTGATTTAAATTATGCCGGTAAAGTATAATTAATTTATTATTTTTATATAATTATATATTATGTATATTATGACATCACTGTTTCAACATTTATTGTAAAAGATTGATTAAAGAATTTGTCAATAAAAAAGAAATTGAGTTAAACTTTAAAGGGAATCATTTTGTGTTTGGCAAGGGGAAATAAAATAGTCCTCCTGGAGATATTATTTCTATATAAATGTTTTTTTTCTTGGTTCATTCAAGCATCTTTATGAGGTAGAGTGGTAACAAATCAATTACAATCATCGTTTTCATAGTCACGGTGACTGGTGTTCTTTGTTTGCATTCAACTATTACACTTTTGCAATTACAATTCCTGTTTTCATAGTCACGGTGACTCTGATTGGTGTATTTTGTTTGTATTCAACAAACTGTTACACTTTTGCAATTACAACTATGTGATGAATCATGTTGAATCAAATTGTCATCTATTCATTTCCAGGGCAGGTTGTAGCATTATGTTTGTTGATGTATTATTGGTAATCTATTGATGAATGTCATGACATATTATTGAAAATTATATTTTATTTTTTCAGCACAAAGAGATTCAAGTGGACAACTTTGGACCTTTGAATGTTTACATTCAGGTGAGCATTTAATATTCTTCCTCTTCAAATTGAGCTTTTAATATTCTTCTTCAAATTGAGCTTTTAATATTCTCCCTCTATAAATTGAGCTTTTAATATTCTCCCTCTATAAATTGAGCTTTTAATATTCTCCCTCTTTAAATTGAGCTTTTAATATTCTTCCTCTTCAAATTGAGCCTTTAATATTCTCCTTCCTCAAATTGACCTTTTAATATTCTCCCTCTTCAAACTGATCCTTTAATATTCTCCCTCTTCAAACTGAACTTTTGATATTCTCCATCTTCAGATTGAGCTTTTAATATTCTCCTTTTTTAAATTGAGCTTTTAATATTCTCCCTCTTCAAATTGAGCTTTTAATATTCTCCCTCTTCAAATTGAACTTTTAATATTCTCCTTCTTTAATTGAGCTTTTATAGTAATGATGAAGTTATGTTGACAAATAACCAGATCAACTTAAAGCCACTTTGACTTTATGAAGTAAATGTTCCTGTTGTAGTTTTTGTTTTTTCTCTAATTATATCATTGGTCATTACAAATTATGCCATTTGTTATTACATAATGAGGGGGAGGGGTACTGTTTTAAATCCTAAAATCTCTTTCTTATTTATAAATTCTTATACCTTCATACAAACGTTAGATGTCACAATCTATTAACAGTGTGTTTACAATACACTTAATGTTTTGTAGAGCCTTATATTTTATACCTTATTTGGAATATACGGGTCCTCTCAAACATTATAGATAAAGAGGGACTCAGAATCAGAATGTAGAGCCCCATTACAAATCATCTCACTGGGCACAATGGCTTTAGGTTGGGATCATTATCATGCAGTTTTATCAGTGAATGAATAATTTTTGATCATTCACCATTTTTCGCAGTTACTTAGTATTTCATCGTGATATTTCATTCACATCACATTTGTTTTCCTACATGGCCAATACATTCACGGCTTATCCCAATGGGTCCCATTTCCAGACAAAATCAGAAGCGTAATCAAAAAAATAGATTTTGTCTTGCTTGAAGTTGTGTTATTCAATTACCATTCCTGATCTTTACGGGCAATCTTCTGGTGCACTCTTATCTCACTTCTCGGTCTACTTAATCTATGGCTTGAAAATCTGATTGTTCCAAATTGATGAATATTTATAGGTTTTGCCATTAATTTTGTTCTTCGGGACAGTGACGCAATGAATGGAGATTGACGCACCGAGGGCTGATTGGTATTGTTTGAAATGTTGAAAGTGTCAGTGAAATATGATGTTCATCTTTCAGTGTTCTGACATTATTATCATGAACACGCAGTATGAAATATATACCATTAATCAAGTTTGAAAATGATGTTTCTTCATAATGTTGTAATGTTGAATGAGTTTCCTAAGCATTCTGGAATACAATATTTTCATTTGTTTTTGTTCAGCGTTGTCTTTTGATTGGAAATATAACATTTGATAATTCAGTACCAGTGATCTTCCTAACTTTGAAACAACTTGCACCATTTGCACCCAGTTTTATTAGAATTTGTGGTGACATTTGCACCCATTTTAGAAAATCCTTTGTTGAGAACAGTCTGCTGAACCATATAATAGTTGTCATGGTACATGTTGTTGTATGTTTCCAGGGTAACAAAGAGAAGGCTGAAATTGTGGTACTCACCGTTCATGACATTGGATGCAACTGTAAGTATCAAGTTCTGTGGTATTGCACAAGTGACAAATCATCATTGATTCAAATAAATTTGAACTAATATCTGGTCATTTGAAGTCAATGGAAGATATATAAGTTGATAAAAATGAGGCTTATCAATTCCCACATTGGTCTGAATTTTTAATATTTCCATACCTCGGGAGGGTAAGTTCACTATTGCTGGTTTTACTCTACAGATTACCTTGTGGCATTCATTCAGTTACTCTTGGAATGTTAAGATATGACCTCTGTATGTCTATGATGCGCCTGGTAATGAAAAGCCCATAAAACATCAATTTCTTACCAGATTCCCTGAACCAGGTTTCCTATAATCCGATATGGTTCATTTCAAAAGTTAAATGAACATCATGTTATTAAAGTGGCAGCAAAGAATGGAGAATGTAAGATGCTAGAAATAGACTTTTCAGGATGCAGATCTTATCTAAAATATAATCCCAGTTTTATTTACTGGAAAAGCACTGAGATATTTTTTTGAATACAGAAAATTATTGAAGCCTTTAGAAATATTTGAATTCCTAATATCAAAGCATCCATTTTTTCACATTTTGAGCCAAATAACCTTAAAAATTTATGGAATGTCGTGAAATAAAGTCACAACTGTTAGATTGAAAATTGGCATGGGATGTTTTGAGCAAAATATCTTAAGATTGTGGCAGTTTTTAGAAAGGAGTCTTCTGTTTTATCTAATGTAGACGATAAAGACTAAAGGAAAATAAGTTAAATGTCTTATTTCATCTATTGAGTCCTTTAAATTTAATTAAAAGGTTATCTATGGATTTTATCGATTCTTTACCAAATGATAATTTCTAATAATGGTGAAATTGTTCCTTTAATACTTATTTAGCTCATTTTAGATTGATTATTTTGTCCTTGTATAAGATGTTTACTACTCTGATCGCAATATGATAACAAAACCAGAAACACAGAAATATTCAAATCACCCAGCATGGCCATTGATCTATAGAAAACCTCTATCAATTCAAAAGACTTTCTAGATCTGGAGATAATAAAAATGAAAATGTTTACCACTAAAGATGAAATATGGATATTGTAAATCATGCTGCTTTTATATTTTAGATTGAACCTAATGTATTATTAAATCAATTATAGATTACTACATCTAAAGGGATGGTCTCCAATTATCAATAGTCGTGGAAAAACAAAGTTGAGTTTTGTTATTGCTTGATCCCCCATCTAACAAAGTTATAAAATGTTATTTGTCTTTCACTTGAATATTTAAAAAATCAACACTGTTTGCCAACAAAACCATGAATTCATTCATCCAGCCTCTCTCCCCTTAACGAAACTAACTTCACTATTCCACAACACTTTTGATAATTTGACACCATCCCTTAACTATTCTATGATTTTTATAACTGTAATCTGAATTAATGCAACCTCAATCCTTAAAATAATTGGATTTTATTTATTTCACAATCACATAATGAAATGAGTTATAACCACTGAAGATGCATGAAATGAGAATGTTAAAAGATGTTACAAATGATTTAATAATTGTTGTTTACTGCATTAGTTTGGTGTCTAGTCAAGGCCTCACTAAATGTAAACATTCATTATATATACATGAATAGCATAATAGTAGAAGATAAAAAGAGCTGTATGTGCTTAGTTACACTCTTATCATTCTCAATTGTCACAATGTTGTTTTTAATTCAAGTGTTGAACTACATTTATTGATAATATTGATTCAGTTTAGAAATCAAGGTTGCTGTGACCACATGACATGTGCTTGTGCCTTCCTGTTTTTATTATTTCATTTTCATTTGAAATAAAGGCATTTCTATCATTTATGATGAAAAACATCTTAATTCTTCAATTATAGTGATTTGGCTCTCAGATAATTAGATTCAGAGTGTTTTGTTCAGTTAAACACAGTTATTATGTTCTTATTATGTTCTTATTATGTTCTTAGCAGTCCAGCACAATAACAAGACAGTAAAACATGTAAATCTGAACACTTTCTAGTAGACTATCACTCCCCCCAGTTTTCTGCAAGTTAAAATGCTAAATTCTGCAAGTGAAATTAGTGAATTCTGCAAGGGGAAAAGGCTAATTCTGCAGAAATTCCGCGGAAAATATCGTGATAGATATAATTAAAACGGGAAAATTTCATGATAGTTACATAGGCAGTCACTACGTCACTACTCAATACATGCTGCCATCTAGCGACAGAAATCAAATGACGAAGTTTAAAACTTTCACTTCGCATAATTTGGTAATTTTTGGGTTATTTCTACAAGGGATTTGACTGAAAACGTGTGAAATTGTTGGGGAAATTGTTACAGGTAAGACTGACTATTCAAACTTTTGGAAAATATATCGATTCCGCGGAAAATTCCGCGGAGATTGACCAAAATAGTTGATTCTGCAATTCCGCGGGCAAAGGCAAATTCCGTCCGCGCTCTGCAAACACGGAATCCTGGGGGCAGTGGACTATAGTCTGAATACCTCTAAATGTAAACATATTTTGGGTCTCATTTTTATGTCACCACTGCAAGTGGTGTGTGTGGTGGTCAGTGCCTGTTACTAATGGCTTCTGTAACAAATGGCAGGTGGTGACATTTTGGATGTTAATGCCTCTAGTGAACACCTGCAAATCTAAATAAATACCTTTGGCCAGTCCTAGTGGCATTCCAATAATGCATAACATTATGCTTATTACAGATGATTACTGGTTTTAATTTTGATAAGATCTTCACAATATCAAATGCAGCTTCCACATGTTTTTGAGGTGAAATGAATGTCTACCTACTGGCATATAATACGAGTCTTGATTTTTCCACATGGCTTTATATGAGATTTTCTGACCCCACTGGTTCAGACTCTGGGCAATCCAATGTATTATATCTTTAATATATGAGACACGTAGATGAAGTCAGGCAAATGAGGAGGATATATTTATTTTTACACATCTTTCACTGAACAAGTAATATTCTCACCTTGCTTTTCCTGATGTGATCAATGTTTAATCATCTGCTTGGTTTGAAGACAATCAATTTATAACTGACACTATAATGTGATCAGAATACATTTCTGCCTGTATCTTTATGTAGAATACATAGCATCTTTACATCATCTCGTTCTAAGGTACAGTATGTATGTGAAAGTAAAAGTATTCTATGTCTACATCTGCGTTTTGTGTACTGTTAAAGAATGGGGGGCAATATCAGAATAACACATAACAATCAGAATTAAATACAACAAACCCAACTAAATTTGCAAAACCATAATCAACGAATATTAGGGCTTAGATGCCTGAAACAAAAAAATAAAGCACTAAGAACATGTGTAACCATGGGCTTTCAACTAGAATAATTGAAAGCCCATGGTGTACACAGCCAATATAATTCGACGCCGTTTCGGCATCGAACAAATTCGGCACCGTTTCGACACCGTTCCGGCACCGAAACCTTTCAACACCAAAATTTGCTACCGGACTAGTCAGTCCATTTGGTGCCGAGACGGCACCGAAATTTGGCACAGAAACGGCGTCGAAAATCAGATTGCATTTTGGGGGTGTAACATATCAATTTAAGGTTCTGGATTTAAAAATGTACCAGTATAGTTAAAACCTTAGGATTGTTGACCAGTAATGTCTGCCTTGTCCTAATTCTATTAAATTCTTCACATTCAGCAAAAGAACGTTCCTGTAATTACACTTGGAGATGAAATCCAGATCAATACTGTTTCATAAATCATTTTTTATTTCCTTTTAAACGTGGTATGGTTGAACTCAAATTGCAGTGATATATTTGTACCACTGTTACCCTGCAGTTGCGAGTATAATTCCTATAGACATAATAGATAAACCCAGTTAAGATTTGTAATATTACTCTTTTAAACAGAATATATAACTGTAACCAGGCTATTTCATATTTTGAATTTCATATTGATCAATCCCCATTTGTTTCCTTGTTCATTTTAACAGGTCCTTTTAATCCTCTTGCATCAACTACTTTTACATCCAGTATTTCAGATATTTATAACCATGTTGTTTGCAAGTCACTTTTGTATATATGCTCTATTGTTTAAACCAGTTTAGTATGTTGTTTCATGCTGTGTTTGTTTTTACTTTTTATTCATGTCTTCATGTTACATATATAGATCACATTCACTCACTCATGAGTTTGGGTGTTGCCCAGTTAGTCAGTTAGTTAGTCAATTGTTGCAGAGATACATGTATCAGATTTTGAAATAGACTTTTTTAGACATTTTAAATCATAGTTTCTGTTGTATTTTATTCGCCACCCACGGCCTTCCATCGCCCATTTACATTGGTACCAGGAGTGGGGTAGGCGCAAATAACAGCAAGTGGGGTAGGCAAGGATCTAAAGTGGGGTAGGCACAAATAGTTTATATAGCTGACTGACTAAATTTTAGCAACACAATGGATTTATCATTCGTGACCTGTTGGTTTTGTAAAGGAAGAGGTCATCGTAAAAGACAGTGTATTTCGTTTATACAAGAGAGATATTATTGTTTATTATGTGAAACGAATGGAATGCATCGCACCAAGGATTGTCAATCATCTGTGACTGTAAATTGTAAATCTGTGCAGGTACAGACAAAGCCAAAAACGCACAACAAGTACAGTCAAGCAGAATCTGTAAATATGGACACATATAAAAATGCAGTTTCCGATCATAAGCGGATCGAAAGTGAACTCTTTGGACAGAAGAAAGGAAATCAGATGTATAAAGAAAAAATTGCAAAATTGGAAGTTGAACGATTGGACGACAAAACTCGGCTGAAAACACAAAGGAAATTGATAAAATCTCTGGAAAACGATATTCGTGAATATAGTGATAAATTATATACCTCGACAGGTGAATCTAGTCTTCTGCAATCTAAACTTCAGGAATCCGTAAAACAAATTACTGCACTGTTATCACGTTCCAACGAATATTCAGCTATAATTGCGGACATCGAAAATAAACTTAAGGATCGAACG